GGATCCTTTTCTCAGTTATGGTTATAATCTTAAAACATCACTTTTCCTGTTCTGTTTCTACATTAATTTTTTATGTCTTTGTATTTGTATGCATTATCTCAGCCTTATGAGTGTCTGCATTTAGACTACCATCTACTCATCTACTTCTTTTGCATTGTATTGCAGTACATTTCCATGTATTTTTAAGCATTTTAGCAAAAACATTTTTACCATTCATGTATCTATTTTTCCATCACTTTAGGATGTTTTGGTAGAGACAGCATTTTATCTGAGGAACCAATAATTTGCATAACATTATAAACTAAAACTTGGTTTATCAGGTATATTCTGTACTTCATTATATGTATAAAGTATAAAATGTATGAAAATGAAAAATAAATTTCAGATGATTAAATGGCTCTGTTATTAAAAAAGATTAATCAAACCTCTGGGAGTAACTTAACCAATTTTCATGGAAATGCTTGAAATTAACACTTACAGTACTCTGCGTGCATTTATATCTTTAGTCTTGGAACAAAAATCTAAACAGTTGTTCCTTATGCTAAAGCAATATGGAGATTGCTGGGAGTGATGCAGTTAGCAATAAACAAGAACGGTTAATGTTTGGAATCTCCCTGTTACATCATTCACAGTTAACTCCTTACACCTCGTCTTCCTACTATTCTTTAATCAGTACTAATCATCTTCCTTAATGAGACACTACAGAAAATACTGAAATAACTTCTACAAGTGAATGAGCTAAAAAAAATCACTCTGGATTTTTATTAAAATCATCATCACAATTCCTTAACCTTAATCCTTGCAAACTCTTCAGTCACACTCTTTTACACAGAGATTTGCTTTGAAATGAATCTGCCATGCTGTGGAGTTCAGCTGTGCTGAGGATTCTCTCACTTGAAATCATTTGAGTGCTCTGTTGGATGTTTAAATCAACATGGCAAGCTAGAGCGCTCGATGCAGGGAATACCACGGAAACGGGCATGCCATTCCCTCCAGATTTATTCATTTTGTTTGATGAAATAGGAACCAAAAACATCAGAACAAAGGAAAGATTTATGGACTGGATGATGTGCTTTCCTTAAAAACTAAAATGTTAAACTCTAATCATAATCAAATTGAACAATGAAATGACAAAAAATATTCTAATAGTAATAGTAAAGCAATTTAAGTCCCGAAAAACACAAGGGTCGCATCTTGTTGCACTCTGTAGTTAGTATTTAGCAGATACCTTTCTGGCATGGAATATACTGGCAGTACACCCCATGTACTGTGTTGCTCTTATCCTGGAGGCTCTGAGGGGAGATACAGTATGTGAACATTCCTACTGGCAGAATTGCTCTAGGTCTTTCAGATACTTTCATTCTGTTTGTTAACTGCCTACAGTCTTTGAGCTTGAACCTCAAATGGTCAATTGGAGTGAGGTCTGGAGACCAAGGTGGCCAGTTACTAACATTTAATGTGTGCAGTTAACAATATCCTTTTTGATTTGGATGTACTGTATACTCTGGATCATTGTCTTGCTGGAATGTTCAGTTTTAGCCAAGATTGAGTCTCTTGGAAGAGAGACCTGGCCTGGTCATGGTTCATGTTGGACCCAATGATCTTAACCAGGACCTTGAAGTATAGTGCCCCCCATATTACATACTGTAGTTAACATAAGAATTTTTATGGGCTGAATGATGTTTTATGCCAGATGTAATACAGATTTGCATGTCCAAATAACTCAATATACACTTAATGTGACTATAAGACGTAGTTACAGTTGTCATTCAAATAGTTTAGTGAATTTAAGTGTTTCTGTGATTCACCCACAGAAGATCCTTTCTCACACTATCGTGATTGCCACATAAACGTTGAAATTCTGAAATTTGAATGACCATTTGCCTGTAGTCCCGAGAGAGTTCTCTGACCTTAACCATGATGATGCATGCTTCTACTTTTGACCCCAGAAACCAGAAACCTTGAGAGGCCTGTATTTAGTTTTGGAGAATTCCATTGTATTTAGAAAAAGTAGAATGTTATTGTAGATTTATTGTTATTGGATTTCATTTAAAGGAATACATTAAGTTGTTGTAATTGCATGTGACCCTCGTATTTTCTGAAATTCACTTAATTATGTAATTACAATATAATTTAAAAATAAAATGATAAGTAAACACATAATCTACTGTATATCCCTAGCTCATTCTGTCCTGTGAATATTTTTTCCTCCAGACTTTGATGTAGAAATTGTTCCACATGAACCTGAATGTCCTATCTTAGTACTTTCTCTCTACTCAAGCAGCGTGCAATGTCATTGTTATACAACATGTCATCAGCATTAACAGACATTTCTGAAATGTTTGACTTCTCCATGTGTATCTAGAGGATGACAGCTCGTGCATTTTAGTCTATCTATTAAGAGGAGTGCAGGGGGAATTAAGGGGGAAGAGCAGGGAACTAATTAACAGCTCAAATTGGTGAAATCTCTTTTTCTTTAAAGAAATAATTGTATTTTTTTACTTAAATGGCATTTTGCTCAATATAGTGCTAGCAGAAAGGACAACTGAGACTTTTAATTCTAAACGTGTAAACTCTTTCATTGAAGACTGGTTCTTTTCATAGCAGTCAAAAATCAAAAATAGAAGACACAATAAAATGGCTTTTTTTACAGAATTGCATTAAATTGTGTATTTCTATTAACTTAATTTCATTGATACCATTAAAACCAGACATAAAATTGTTTGCAAAATCTTTTGATAATTGAATAGAAATATCTATCTCTCATCTGATACTAAAAGACTTTATTGGTTATTGGTTTTGGCCATTTCTTTACCAAAGTGATTCATTACCTACTGTATACACTAGTCCAACCACTGATCTGTAGACTAGGTATTGAGTTCTCACTCAACAGAGATACTTGATGGGGAATTGCATCACCACCATTATTATTTGTTCTGATGTGAGAACTGATGGCACAGATTATTAAATAAAATATTATCAATGCTCCTATTTTCATAGATGAATCCAAGCACAATTTTTTTACTCAGTGCTGATAACATTCTCTTGGTTCTCTCTGATATTACAAGTTCAGTCCCAACATGTTAAACGTATTGCATAACTTTGGCAGACGTTCTAGATCTAAAATAAGTGGTCAAAATGAAGTTTTATTCTCTTTAATCTTACAGTACCTTTACGACAACTTCTCTCCTACTGCATATTCTTATTCAGATGCAATATTCAAGTTTTACTTAATTTGGAAATGAAATCCCACTCTTCAAAATTTTGTAGCACATTTGCAATATGTTTGACATCTTGAATAACATTAAAGCTGATTTCACTATCTGGCAGCCTCACATTACATGTTTACATTACAACATACAGTAGGATCCATTATTAGAATGACTTTATTTCTTACATACTTTTCTTTTCCTCATTCAGCTCCTCTAAGCCTGATCCTTAGGAAGGTTTCCGAGGTTGTATTCTGATAACTGGGATACCAGATTTTAGATTTTAACCCTCAATAATTAAACTAGTTTTCCAAAATATAAGATATTTAATGTTAAATCATGACTAATTGAATATTTACTTCTTCTTTGTGTGTCTATTAAATTTAGCCTTTATGATTTGAAACTGATTTTTTAATTTGACTAACACTCACTGCATTAAAGTCAACATACAGACTTTACTCCTGGTCTGCATTAGTTGTTTTTGTAATCCCTGTGTGATTGATCAGGTGTTTTGTGTATATCATGGTCAGATTCACATTTACTCTTGTGGTGGTTTAATTGAATCATTTTATTATTATTAATATGTTTATGTTTCTTTTACTGTTTTGAGTCCAAGTAGCCATAAAAGCACTCCTTGAATGTGTAACTCCAGTTTTTGTCAAAATTTAAAACAACAACTCCCTACAATGGTATTCTTTGAAATGCCTAGGACTAGGCATTTGAGACACTGAGACACTAGTTTAGGTGAGTTGTACTGTATCATTGCTGATACATACAAGATTGCTGCAGGGATGGTGGTGGAGATTGGCTGAAGAAACAAAAGCTTTTTTTCATGTGCGAGAGTCTTAGCACCCAACATCTGCCAGGAAAGCATACAATTTTGCACCATCTTTTGTGTCAAATTTAAATAAATTTCTCATTTCTTAACATGACTTGCAGTGTAGTGGGGCTACTAGCTTTAGTTCTGCTCCTTATTTGCAACCAAAACTCCAACAGCTTGCTTAAATGTTTAAGTTTGTAACTTATTTCCCTAGATTTATGATGTGTCCTACAGTATATATTTGTATTTTTACACTTAGCCATGGTATGAGAAAACCAGGATTCATGAAATAGGAATATAAAAAGATGGAAAAGTGTGTTACAGTTCATTTTATTAGTATTACTGTATTTATTTAATATCACTTTAGATAAAATCATGAATTAAAATAATGAATAATAATATCTGGTTCACAACTGTTTAAGCTGTTCAGTGTGGACACAACACATTCACATTCACATCTGATATAAAACGAGGAGCAATGTGATAAACAGGACTTTTTATCAGAATATTTAACAGACGTTTAAGCTAACAGGTGATCCTGAAATAATGTTGATCCAATACTATACTGTATGTTGACCAAAAATAGAATTAAACAATAAAATAAAACTAATAATGCACCAGTCCATTATAAAAATGTTACTTAGGATATAATTTAAGAAAAAATATCACCGTTTGTATGTGTAACCTTAGTTATAAAGTAAAACAAAAGTACATTATTATTATTATGCACTAAATCCATATCATAGGGTTATATGAGAAAAACAAAAATGTGTAACGTTTAGCTCCTACACACTATACCCATGGTGCTAAATGCACGCTTTCGCAAAGATTTGGCACTTTTATTTTTTCACACCATATTTGTAACACCACTGGTATACAGTAACAAATATCATTGCAAATGTATTGTTTTAATTTATAAAATTATTTCACACTGGGCGTGAGCCTTAAAATTGTATAGGCAGCTAACTCACCCTGCCAGCACGATGAAGAAATCCAGTCTATTCCATGTGTCGCCAAGGTAACACTTCTTCCCAAAGATCCCCAGAGCTACCATTTTGATCACCATTTCCACAGCAAAGAAAGCAAAGATGAAGTCATCAAAGTCCTAAGAGAAAGAACACGGACAGCATTTTATCAGACCATTTTCTTCTGAAGATTGCTTTAACATGATTACTTTTAAAACCTTATTCCCAAATAGTGTCCCCAGCTGAGTGAAAGGAATGCTTTACACATGAAATACAAAGAATAATTTTGGAAATTTCACTACATTTCTGGAACTCAAATCAATCAAACAATCGGTGTTCTGTTTATTTAGTACCCTTTGCAATAGTTTGCTGCAAGAGTGCCCTACAGACTAAAAACTCTAATACAACAGACAAGATACAGAGAGATGAATAAGTGGCCTCAGTTGGCTCACTCACTTACACAGCTGGACTATGTAAGATGGATAAGATATATCTCCAGAGATTGTGATATCTAATCACTTCTACCAGTCCTGGAAGAAAATGGGATGGCTGATGTACACTAGTATCAAGGAATACAGTGTTTAGGGGACCGACTCCTGAAAGAAAGGGAGCAAAGAAAAGTAGAGGACTTGTTGATAAGAGGCTTAGACAATATATTGTCCATGGGTGGCAGAGAGTCTCATATGGTGTGTTGCCTGTCTGTGTCTGAGCAAGTAGACAGACTCCTACCCAGAGCTACACTAGGTGTATCAAGCTGACCTTCTCCATGTACTGTAGGAAAGGAATAGAATAGGTCAATGGTTTGACAAAACAACAAATGATAATATCCATTCTTAAAAATGTATACTTACATGGTGGAAACATAAGAAATAAAATACAAGATTAGATACAGATGTTTTAGAATCTATGTGGGCTAAACTAGAAAATCAAGTTCTGTTCCTAACACTAGATGCACTGTATATAACAAACCACTTGGACACAGGTACAAGTAGTTTACCATATGATGAGATTTTCTTATCTAATTTGAGATCTTAATTACTTTTCAAACAAATTTAAAAATAAAACAGACTGGAGCCTTTTGGAAATTTTGACCATAATGTGGTATCTATTAATGTTTACATTCTATCTAAAAAATATGGAATGGTTTAGGATTTTTGAAGATATTAACAGTTTCAAAGCAGAATATTTCTACTGAGTACTTAGAAGAGCCTGAGATTCAAAGACAATAAATGGTATGCAAAGGAACAGTGGAACAGTGCGTATTCCATGCTGAAAGGAAAAGAAAAGATACACAATGTTTTGGCTGTGGAGCCATCTTCACACCTGATTCTGTTTGAATCATCCTATTGCATTTACTGTACCTTTAACTGATGTTTTAACATAATTTAACTAGATTAATGATGTAAAGCATGTGATTTAGAGATTCTGACATGATTTGCAAACTAGTTAGATTTACAGATTATACAAAAATATGGAGGACAGCAAACATATACTGTACATGTATATAGTGGCAAGGGAGTTACAGTACATGTGACAAATGAAACTTCACATACTGTACACAGTAAATACAAACTGATATACACTGTTAGTAAGGAACATACACTATACTGTACATACAGTAGGAAGCTAGCAGAGCCTGTGTTGTTTTGCAACATTTCAGAAAAGTGTTTTTTGGGAAAAAGTTTATAAACTTGTTTTTAAAGCCAATTAAAAGCTTTGCTATCTGATTATTTATAGAAAGCAGAAAAAAATAGTTTGGTGAGAGCTATACCCTTGTTTTGTGGTTTTTGTGTTTTCTACCTGTAAATAAAATAGCACTGTTCATACCTTACAGTATGTGTGTGTTTGTGTCTGTTTTCCCTGAGATCCAGTTATAAAAATATATGGTTATGTCACCAACTGTGGGTCATAGGATGCCACAGTGCCACAATCGATACATATGGATCTGCAGGAATCTATGCATGGATGGAATGAGGGAGCTTATTTACACCCTCCTATGTTTTCATCAAGAGAAAGGCATTAAAACACACCAGTATGTCACACATTTTAAATATTCTGTAGAATTGTGGTCACGATACCAATAAATATTAGAAAGAGCAACACAAATGATGGTTTCAGAAGACTGCACTTGATAGACGTTAAAAAAATTACAGCAAATCTTTAGCCTTGAACAAAAGAGACTGAGTAGTGCTTTGATCCATATATACAGTATTAAACCAAAGTTGTACAGATTGAATTAATCCAAAAGACCACATTAGACTCAGCAGAAAATAGGAAAGAGTCAAAATTGTAAATTAAAGGAATTAATTTAGGATGGAGAATAGGAAAAGCTTTTGTGGACATAGAATTGAGAAAATTGGAAATGGATGCCCCACACAAGTGGTTGAGGTCCAAACTCTGGGCTCCTTCAAGTAATGAGTGACTGAAATTTCATTATCACTTAGCTACTAAATACGAAATTGAAAAGATAGTTAGATGGCTTGTCTCCTTTCTCATTTTTAATGTTCTTTGCTGTTGAAAGCCTCAACAGGAAGCCACTCAGTAGATAAACTCTACTAACTAACATGATAAATTAACATGAGGACTTTGAAGGACTTTGAAATCCCACATCAACTGGATTTCAAAGACGATGATCTTAACTCTATAGCTCACCCCATTTGCTTTTGTGTCAAATCCAGCAGCCACTGATCTGAGAACAACACCTCAAACCTTAGAAACCCAGCTTTGAATTTCTAGCTATCATTGTTGTAGACAATCTTCTGAGCTCAAGTTAAAAACCTGTGCTAATTTAAATACAATGATCAGACATTTTTTCTCTTTCTTTATATTTAAGCAGAGCTATACTTAGACCTTCCATCAGAAGATCCACAATACACACTTGTCTCAGTTCAATTGCTGTAGTACAGTATATGGAATAAGCTGAACTGATTCAAGCATACCTTATTAATGTCTATCTGCCTACATGTGTCAGTGTGCACACAGGTGATGAATTAAACCCAACACAGAGATTAAGAAGATCCTGAATCGATATGAAACAGAGGAGAAAACTATCTGAGAGGCAGCTTTAAAGTAGGTGTTGTGTGGGAAGTGACAGAATACAAGAAGTCCAACATGTCCTGCTGCAGATTTGATTAAGTTAGGCAGAGAGGTTAATGATTGTTTTGTCTGCCCTGGAGGATCCCAAATGTTCTGGAATGAATATGGAAAATGATCATATGCCTACAGGTACTGTATGTGATAAACACTTAAAAGAGCTGATGGAAACAATAATCATAACCTTATAAAATTACTAAGTAATTAATAAAATGATTTTAAATTATTATTTTATATAAGAAGAGAGGAAAAAAAGAAAGAGATGCGAATATATTTTGATCTCCATTAAAGCTAAAAATCTTGGAAGGATCACCTTCACTTGAAATTAACAAAGAAGCAATAATCAAAATTGTGAATTTCACTACTGTAATGCTGATTGATTGTTTTATTACAAAGCTAAAAATGTCCATTCCGCTTTTTGTAAAAGGTTTCATGCACAAGGAATACTGTTAAATGAATACACTTATTCTACATTTTATCTCTGAATAAACTATTTAAGTTCTACTTCCTCCACATTTAAGATTTTAGAATATACTGTATACCCTGTATACTGTATGTGTGCCATAAAAACACTCAAAAGGACAGCTTTTTAATTTACAAAATATAAATTAAACCTACTGAGTTTAAAACTTGTTTATAGTTAATTATATTACTGATACTTTTACATCTACTAACACCATTAATTAAAACTAATTAATAATAATTGATATTTTATTATACTGAAAAAATAATTGGTCTTTATTGTGACATTAACATCTATTAGCAAAAAGATGCTTACCCATGCTACTGTATGAGTGCAGCTTCCAGCAATGGTGTGGGCTGATTCAATTGTTATTTCAGAATGTCTGGACTATGTCTCCCAGCATCTTGGTGATAAGAGAGACAGCTGAATAGGAACGCTGTAGCACTCCTACAACCCCCCCAAAAAATTAAATTGAGTATAAACATTGGAAATTGTCTTTACTGTCTATAGTATGTGGCCTTGAAGAAACTGTTAAAAACATTTAAATGTTCAGAGTAAGGATAGAGGGCTTATTCCTTGATAAATCTCTGAAGCAGTCACTTCTGTTCTTCTGGTCCTGTAGAAATAATCCAGATTCTTCCTTTAGATATTTACTGTTTAACATGTGTAACGGTTCTTTGAGTTTCTGACCTTGCCACTTCTGCCCTTCCAATTCGTCCCTCTTTGCCTGGGCACTAACCCGGGTTTCTGGGGTCATGCAACAGGGAACTTGCTGGCTGAGCTACAGGAGACCTTGCCCAGCCTGGGCGGCTGAGATCCCTGTTATACGCAGGGGCGTATTCGTGACATTCTCCCCCTGCTTAATTTGCCATCCTTGGCAAAGGACCATCCCCGTACAGGCCATCATTGTAACAGTTCAAGGTTTCTTCCCTTACCACTACTGCCCTGCCAGTTCGTCCCTCACTGCCTGGGCACGAACCTGGGTCTCCAGCATCATGCAACAGGGAACTTGCTGACTTAGCTAAAGGAGAACTCCCAGAGCCCTGGCAGCTGAGATCCCTGTTGTACGCAGGGGCGTATTCGTTATACCAGCCTACAGTTAGAATCAACATCTGTCTCAGGTATTATGATATGGAAACCCCATCTAAGGTCTCAATTAACAGGGCCTTTATGCTAATGGTGTCCTTGGGTCGGAGCAGATAGGACAGCATCTGCGTGACCTACAGGGTGATCATAAAGTACAATCCTAGGACTCGAATGTTCTCATAACATTAAAAAGCGTGCCATAAACACTTTTCATTGTGAAATGGTTTTATTGAGGAAGGACACTGGCATATTTTATAAGCAAAAGGGTGGGGAAGGTTTCTAGTAAAGAGGTACTATGCTCTATGGCATAGACGCAGAGGCAGGGTTGTTAAAATATGCAATCATGTGCTGGTCATGGAAAATTTATTTGTGTCCAAGCAACTGTAAAAGCTCTTGTTGATTTTTTAAAGCATCATAATTCCATAAATTTCAGGAATTTGTTTTCTTAACTTAGCCATGCCACCTAGGCTGAGTGGCACTGAGGAAGAATTGTTCCTGACCCTTTTATATCAAAAGGACAGTAAAACTTCCCTGACTTGTAGCCCAAGAGATTGAGATAATCTACTTGGTGAGACTATTTTCCTGATTTCATACACACACAGCAATGCCCACAGCTTGGCAATTAGCAGTTCCTTCTCATAGACAGTTTATTTATTGAAAAAAGTATTTAAAATTGGTTCCTTGTGTTTAATTTACTTTGGTTTTGAGTTGTATGTTTTTCAGAGGACCTGCTTTCACTGCAAGGCTACAAATTTTATTATAAACATAGGATGGTTTGTGTTCAATTAATTATTGGGGTTCAGGCTACAATAGTTTGAACATCTGAGCACAGTGTCCACCCACATACTTGTAAATAACCATGAGCAAAGTTTTATAAGTGTTATATTTGTTTCAAATAATAGTCAACTCATTAAAAAATTAAGGACATACTGTAGGATCCTTACAAAATTATTTGACTTCAGTTTAGAACACATCACCTAGTAGTGGTAGTTCTCCACCAGGTATCTGAGAAGACTTTATAGGGGACTTAAAAAAGGTACTGTACATTTCACCACCAAGTCTAGCAGTGTGTAAATCAATACTTTAATACAGTGCGTATACAGTACTTACTGTACATACAGTACATTTACTTGTTGAATTACATTTGTGCTTTAGATATTTTACAATCAATAGTATTTTTATTTTTAATACATTTCAATTTAATTTTAAATATTAGCATAATATGTTCATGTAATTGGGACCTCATGGAGTGTGATCTCCTGATAAGAGGCCCACAAGACAAGAGTGTTTAAATATTTTAAATGCCGCAGCCCTGTTGGATTAGTGTCATTAGTGCCCTCTGGTACACTATGTTTTGATGTTCTGTCCAGACAATGCTCTCCAAACTCCAAGTCATTTAAGCTATGCAGTTTAACAATTCTTTTTCATGCAATACATAAACTAATTTTATAATCATTCACTACAATCTAATGAAAGTCACCACCAGAGTGACAGCATTTCCACTTAAAAAGATCCCGCAACAAACGTGCTTGACACAATACTTGGTTGTGTGTACAGGAAGCACATTTATTTTATCCATGACTGCTATTCTCAGGAAGTCTTATTTATTTTATTATGGAATTATTGTGGCATTCATGGCAGACCCCAATTTACACATTCTCCACAACATTTATCTAATTTCATTTGGGGATTTCAAATGTTTAATCATTTTCTAGTTTTGGTTATAATGATAGCATCTCTTATACTGTATGTCCTTTTCTCTGTATCCGGGACATACAGAAAAAGAGAGGAAGGAATAGGAGAGAAAGAGATGGACAAGAGTGAGGGAGTTGTTAGCCTAAGGGGTCTGTATTCATCACAAGAATTGCTCATTTTGATGTACAGTAACTTTATATTAATATTGAGCAGTACACAATCCAGCAATAAAAACATAAAAAGAGTGAATCCTTTTAATCTGTTACAAGTCCTGCAGTCTTTCTCGCATTAGAATGCAGATTATTTAGTTGTGGAGAGCAAATGTGTTCCATGAAAGTACTAAAGCCATCAGGGGTTTGCTGGAGTTTGTCTGTGACCTTTTAACTGACTTTTCAGCAGTTAAGTCTTGGATGATATTCTTCATTTCCATTGGGTATCATGCTTGCAGAACCAGAAGAAGTTTAAAAACACTTCCTCTGCTTGCTGTAACTTCAAAAACACTTTAGTAGATGTGTTTTTAACAGTGACGCAGAATCAGCTGGCATTTTATCACTGATCTGTCCCACTGAAGCAAAAACTCAGTTGTGGCCACATGCCAAATTTGTCCTTGCAGGACCATGAAAACAAGGCGAGAAATTAAGTGAGAAGAAAAAGAAACAACTTGGATTTAAAATCACGAGGCAGTTTTCATACAGTCTTTCTTTTTATTTTAGTTTTTGACTTGGCTGCACACCATGAATAAGCTGGCATTAATTAACACATCAACTTGAGTGTAAGCAGCTGCTCCAAGATACTGTTGATTGATTAGAAAGCCAGTGTGATATACAGATTATCAGTGAAACATCCCCTGTGTTTGTACACTCCCCCTTGTGCTCTTAATCTAGTTCTTATTCCAAACGCAGAACACCTGCTGCATTGACCCCTGGACCAAAGGATGGACAGAATGAGAATTGCAATAATTGCTTCAACTTTTCGGGTACATTTAACCATATTTTCTTAATCAAGAAAGGGAAAATGACAACAGAGAGATCATGATACAACCATTCAAAGTATTTAACTGAATCTGACAACACTTTAAACAATTGTTTTAATTTAATATTTGTTACAAATAGCCATAAAAACAACTGGTGAAACTGCCACTAGAAACACACTCGTGGACAGCACATACACACAGGCACCAGTGGGAAGCTAAGCTTTTGATGCTTAAGGATATAAAGGTTGTAGTCCTGGTTACCTACCTAAAGAGCTGCAAAAAAGTGGTTAACGTGACCTTGTTAAATCAATAATAAGCTGATTAAAGACGTTAAAAGCTGAATTGCAATTAAAAACTGCAGAAACACTGGTTTTTAAAAGACAAGGGATGAACAGCTCAGATATTCATTATAATTTACTGACAGGAAATGTAAAGAATAACAATACTGCTGTCGTTGACGTACTTTTCCAATCAACATTCTTAGATACTTTTGTTTTGAGTGTGAAAAATCATGAAAGATTTGAGGTAGATCAGAGTATATTTGGCCCCCTGTCCTCATGCATGACCCAGGCTGTACTCCCATTGGTCTGGGCTTACCTGTAATATTGTGCAGCGTTCAGAGACGCAGTCGCTGTCCTCACATGGTTGGAACATTCCCAGTGTGACACAGTTGAGGAGGATCACCAGCATGCTGGCTCTCTCAAACCAGGTGAGGCAAGGAGTTAAGGAAGAAATTCAACAGGGCATAAAACAAACAAAAAAAAAATACAGCTGCGGCATTGTAACTGACTTTCTTGCATATTCTGGGTAGAGAAACAGCATGAGTATTCCTGACGCAATAAAACACACTTCCCATCTGCACAGCTGTTAACATTAAAAATAGCATTATAACATTACAAAAGTGTTAATCAGACATCTTAAAGACAAAAATACCATTCTGTATAAAATAATAGTAACATAGAGCAGGTAGCCAAATGTGTCACCTACTGTATCGATTCTAATGGTGCTAGGGCCCTTCTCCCAACACAGGAGGTTGAATCCGCAATATATACTGTATAATATATATATATAATAATTGTGGAAAATATAATGGTATATTCCCATAGCTGTTCACAATTAAGTCTCTCTCACTTTCCCGAATCAACTCAGTGCAATCACCCAGGCGTGCTTCCTTCTTCCATGCTGAAGTAGAAAAACTGAGCACAGTCCTTCAGTTGTCTCTAGTATTCTCTTCAATCCCAACAGTCCCAAACAATTAATTTTATTAACTGTTCAAGCCATGTGCAACAAAAAAGGGCAGAGAAGAGAGTGTCTGACCTTCACTGCTCTCCACTGGACAAGGCTTAGATATCCTCCTTCTGACCAGAGCATGAGGACTTGAGAGAGGGGTGTTAATTTTTTGATTATTTGGAAGGATGAGGGTTGGGGTTGGCAGACATAAACTTATGTCCCTCTATTCCAGCTCTGATCTCTGTCTGCTAATCACAACTACAATTATAAGTATAATGTGTCAATTTTGACTCTATGGTAGCTGACAGGTGTCTAGGCAAACAATGCGTCACTCATTCTGCGATGAAAGTAATCTGTGTTACACTGTACTTTTTTGCACTAGAAAGGCAGGGAGAATTCAAACGGAGAGGGAAGCAGACTAAACAGAGGGAAAAAATACCATACCTGTTAGAAGACTGGCCATTATGTTTAGAAAATAAACTGCTAGGCACTGCCATACACCCAGTTTTGTCACCCTGTCACACTAACTATGCACAAAAATGAAGAATGAGAAATTGTAAGAGAGTTTGGTCTACATAGTGATTAGATGAGAGACAATTAACATTCATAACAATAACCCCCTTTAATGTATACTGTAGATGGCACATAATGGTTTAAAATGGTCCTGCAACATTTTAGGTATCTACTGTATCAGGTAAACTAAAATGCTGTCAAGGTTGCTAAGCGAAAACATTTTCTAAAAAGCATGTTGATTATGTTAATTACAGATTGCACTTAATTCATTTTCTGAAAATAAATGACTTGCTCTGCCTTTATCTGTTTAGCAAACAGCTTATAATCTGATTGTACAACAGAAAGTGCATCAGTTACTAAAGAATAAAACATGTTAGGGCATTGTGGTGAATTTTTCATGATGGATTAAGCAAATGAATGCAGCCTGTCTAAACCCATTGCAAATTCAGCAAAACTGATTTACAGAAGACTGATCAGGGACCTGACAGGAGGTGAAGGACAGAAACAGTGACCATAGTGCAAATGATCAGGTTGATGCTTAGAGAGGGGCCAGAGTTCAGTGACAGTGTTACAGATCTATGCTTATGAAGTTTAAACAGGGGTTGAAACAGAGAGAAGAAATGATTTTACAAACATTTAATTACTTGTTTACCATAAAGGTAAAGGTTTATTACTTATTATATTTCTTTTAAATGCCCACACTATGTCTCAGAATCTGGTGAGCACGTGCAAAGACTGTCCATTTTCATTAGGACTGAGTCTTTTAACAAAGAAGTATGTAGGGGGTGCTGTTTGACACCATCCAACAATAACTGCAACTTGTCTGGACATACATAGTATACAGCTGGCTATGGTTTAGTCCTCAGGGACATACTAGATTCCATTGTAAACTGCTCCAATATGAGTAGAAAACTCCCCATTACAAATTCTGTGGAATCATGGCCACAAATGTAAAGCTTATCACAAATTCAGGCATTCAGGCTCCAATAACATTGCCAGTGTACCCAGCAAATAGTCAATGAGATGCATTAGATGCCAGAATAACTGTGGTTATAAGATAAAAAAAAAACATTTTGATTTCTTCCCAAAAGCAATATAGTGTAGTACCCCTTTCTGCATCCATTTACATCATACATTAAATCCCAATTAAATAGTGAGGACAGAAAAAAACAACTTTGTTTTATTGCAGTGTTCGTGTATAGAATTCAGTATAAATAATTATCAGTAAGCACTCTGTACTGAATGGCAGCACAGACTATATGTGCCTGCAGTATAATAGAGTTATAATGTTTATACATGAAATCACAGTACACCAACATATACAGTAAAAAGGCATATTGAGTACTGGATAATGATTGTAATCTTCCAACTGGTAAATTTATATTTTTTTTATGCTAAAATGTAAGAAGTTCAATATAAAATATAATGCTTCTCAATTCATTCTATCCTAACTTTGACATAAGCATTATTAAATTACAATGCAACAGCTAGGGGGTCT